GAGGGTCCCACAGTGGGTCCCTGCAACCTCACCTCTGAGCGGGTGTGGGACCTCTGGGTGGGGACGGGGTCGGGTGGTGGAAGAGGCTGCACTGCTCCCTGGACACGTGATGGCTCTGGCCTCTGCCTGCGTGCCCACCTCTGTTGGATGGGGATTTGGGCACTATTCTGGGCGAACATCCAATGATTCTTGGATCTACGACTAGGGGCGCACAGCGCTGCCTGGGTGATTTTCTTAGTTTTTACAGGTCAATTAGTGGGAAAGCGCCCTGAAGTCTTCTGCCCACAAGATCTTGACTCCTTGTTGGCAGAGTTTATAAACATTAGCGACAGCAGCCCTCCTGTCTGTTGGGCATCCCCCAAGTGTACCAGGCTCAGCCCTGCTCCTAAGACGGAGAATCGCACTGAAACTCAACACACCACTGCTGGGGGTAGGGAATTTCCTCGCTCCTAGCTGCTCTAAGAATCAAATTGACATAAGGCAGAGTAACAGGAGAAAAAAAAACAACGAAGTGTAATTGCATATATGAAGAGAAGCCATACATGTGGGTTCCAAAGGCAGTCAGGGAGAATGGGGCATATATATGATCCTGAACGAAGGGCAAGAGGAGAGGGGCCTGAGACTTCAAAGGAAAAGGGAAGTGATTCACAGGAATATGAAAAGAGTAAATGTTTGGTACACAAATGTTTGCTGGCCACACAGACACAATGGGATGGAGGAATTTTAGCAGACTTGGCCACATCCCTCCCTGTCTACCATGCCCAGTTTACATTGTGCTGTAATTATCTAAGGTGATAACTCTCCCCCAGGAGCAGGTCCTCCATCTAAATTATTTTTATGCAGTTGTAGGGAGGGAGGACAAAGTTCCTTTCTGAGTCTTTTGGGCCTTGATTGTTCTCAACCCTGAAATAATTTGTGTGGCACAACTTCACATGCTGGGGCGGCCTGCCCTTGGTCCTGCACCACACACCTGGCTTCTCCACCTGTCTGACCGTATTTCCAGGACACCGACTATGTGGTGCAGTGCTATGCTCATGACACGTGAGGAGCAAAAACAGATACAACTTCTTACATGACAAATTGCAACAAATGCCATGAAACAAAAGCAAAGTGCGCAAGAAAGAACAGGCGTGGGAAGGACCTTGATGGTTTTTATTTAGGTCAGTGGTCTGCGGAGGCTGCTCTGATGTCTGTGTCTCTGCCCATTTATCTGAGCAAAGTTGCAGAAATCTGTTGGACCGAGAAGGGCGGCAGGCATTTCAATAATGGTGATTTGAATCCTATTTTGGAGATTCGTTAATGTTGGAATATGGAGTGAAAATAATCCACTAGCATGAGAATCAGGGGATGTGGGTTCCAGTCCCGACCTGCCTCTGTCTTGCTGTGGGCCTTTGTGGGAGGGTCTTGGAATTCAGGGGTTTTTCAGATGGAGATCGGACTGTGCACGGCACCCCCACACAGGTTTGTTGTAGATCCCAGATGAGGTAATGGGTGCGAGGACCCTTTCAGACACCAGCTGCCAGTCATGTGAGGTTATTAAACCAGGGGAAGATGGCCTCGAGGGGTCTGCTCTAACAACCCAGGGGGTCAGCAGGCACAGAGGTGTGACAGTGGAGGCACCTGCCTGGGTCAGGGTCCAGAATGGGGGCAGGAATGCCGGCGGGGCTTCAGCTAAGGGAATTGAAGAGGTGGGGGTGGAATGGGGGCCACTATCAATCCCATTTGCTTTCTGTGTTTGGAAGGGCGGGTAGGGACTATGTAGTTCTCAGAGGAAGAAGACACAAAGGGAGGAGAGGCCTCTCTTCTTTAGAGGCCACACCTGTTGAGAAGAAAGGCAGGCAGAGAAGGCCTTGGGGCAATTGCTGAGTGAAGATAGGGACGCATGTGACTCTTGCACTGAGCCCACCAGGATGCCCTGGGGGCTCAGATCCCGGCCTCTGACCTTGCACCCATGTCTCAGATCCACGTATGTGCACAGACACACAGTCCTTCATTATCCTCGGATAAATGCGCACAAACCGCCCCACACCACTGTTGCCAACCACACTCCTTTACAGAAGCTTACAGTCCTGGCCTGGGTCCTAGCCTCTTACTGGCTATGTGACTTTGGGCAAATTAACCTCCCTGATCCTTTGTTTTTTCCTCCATAAAATGGGAATGATAATACTTGCATCATTGCGTTGTTGGAGTTCAGTGGAGAGTGTGGGGAGAGCTGCTCTGGGGACATTTAAGCAAATGCATCCCATTTCCAAAGGCTCCAGCCACACTAGCTGTCCATAAACAGAAAGCCCATGAAGAGTACAGAGACATCCTTGCTATACTCTGGATTCCCTGGCCACAGGCATCAGGTTGTATTTGGCCTCAGAAAGAAAGGTACTTATTTACTGAGCTAAGCATTTTTGCTAAGAAGCAATGAAGGGCATTTTGCTAGAGTCCTGCTCAGTACCAGAGGTACTGTGCAAGGAAACAGGTCCTTAGTCCTCCCAGCCCTAGTCTATCCCCTTGTTCTGAGGGAGCAATGCCCTTCAGAAAAGGGAGAACTGGGATCATTTTTTCCCCTCAGGTTGCTTTCTTCCACCCACCCACCCATCCACTCATCCACTCATCCATCCATCCATCTACCTACCTACCCACCCACCCAGTCATCCACCCACCCACCTACACATCCATCCATCCATCCATCCATCCATCCATCCATCCATCGATCCTAGTACTGTGAGCCAGCACTGTGTTAAATGCTTTTAAGTGTCCCTATCCTTTAGATGTTCGTGGTCTGGGAAGCAATATGCTGGAACAAGCTTAGCTTGGATCTCTGGAACCAAGAGGCCCAGGTTCAAGTCTTAGCACCATCACTTACTAGTGTACGGCATTAGGACACATCACTTAGTTTCTATTCGCTCCAACTTTCTCATCTGTAAAATGGGGCTAATAATCCCTACATTTCATTATTCTTGTGGGGATAAAATGGGTTAACATGTAAAGCACCAAGCCTGAGTTAGATGCCCAGGAAATTGGCTCATGCAGGGCCCACTAGAAGCATACATGGGTTGGAAGATGAGGGTGGTTAAGGGAAACATTCTGTGGGCTTCACAGTTCTCACTGCAGCAAGATAACTGATTCACTTGCCCATATTTCATCTTGTCTCTGGACCCTTCCCAGTATGTAAACAGCCCTGTTTTAAGCAGGCTTTCCAGGTAATTTAGGAATGCCTACCTTTTGCAAAGGTAGTGGTCTCTTGCCTCCAGAAGTTTACCAATCAGTGTGAATACCCAGTGGGGGTTGGGAGCTGTGGGGGTTGGGGCGGGCCTGAGTAAGGCAGGGCTGCGACTTATAGGGAGGCCAGGTCAAACGAGGCAGCTGTCCTACCAGGGGAGAGAGGTGACATGCCTGTCCGTGTGTGTCCCCAGGATCTTGAAGAAAGCCCGACACATTGTAGGCATGAAATAAAATTTTTGAATGAGTGAATAAGCTGGGAAATTCACCCTCTGCCTAGTCTGTTTCTCTATCCCCTCACTCCCGCTTGGTGGAGAGGCTGGGTATTTTCTTATGGAATAGCTGCAGCTAAGTAACCTCGTGGACTTGGTGTCCCCTCTACAGAAAGCTCTGTGGTTGATACAGGGTGGCGGGGGCAACATCCAGGGACAGTGTGGATGCAGCAGTGTAGGTCACACTGTCCCGGCTGAGCACGGGGTGACTGGACTGTGCCTTCTGGCAAGGGGCCATGCCCACTTGGCCAGAGCTGACCCCCCGCCTGCCTTCTGGTGTCACAGAGGTAGAGAGTCTGAGACTGAGACCCACTGGGGTTTTCTCTTGATGGGGAAACTTACAGGAGATGCTGAGAGGGGGCTGGCAGCCATTGAGTGGGGTGCAAATGGAAAACTACAGACTGAGATTCTCACTTTATACCCCAGCCTTGCCAGGAAGTTCTAAAAGATGCAGGGGGAGCTTGTGCAAAGGGAAATTTCCCTTTCTCCCCACAACTTCCCCTCTCTCCACACCAGCTAGGACTGAAGAAGCATCTTCCTTGTGTTGAAAGAGACACTAGCTGTACTGAATGGATGGCCATGGGACAGTCATGTATCCATGAGAGCATTCTTGGACCGTGCTGGGGACCCCATTCTGGACAAGCTCGCTGGGCACACAGCAGGGGACACATGCATTTATTCAACTAATGCAAGTTCACCCCTGACTCTGCCAGGCAATCAGACAAGTCCCAGCGATGTGCCTTAGTGCTAAGAGCTCACCTGAGCATTGTTACTGCTTTCTGGGCCCAGACCTCCGCCATTCCAGCCCCTGCTTCCAGAAGACCCACAGCAAACACCAGCCACTCCTCTAAGCAGTTTCAGCGGCCTAAGCAGTTTGCTTTATTGTTGACCCTCACAGTGCCCTGCACAGTGGGCAGTGCTGTCTGCCTTTTACAGACTGGGAAAGTGCGTCTCATATCCTTGATGAGCTGATATATCCAATAAATGACAGAAGGAGGGGTTCAAACTCAGGTCTGTCTGACTGCAAACCTGTGTCCTTTCTAGATTAAGCTCCTTGAGGTAAGCTCTGAGCACTTTCTCTAGGAAAATCCCAGGGAAAGAGTCCTGGTGGTGAAGGTCCAGAGCCTTGCCTTGAAACCACAGAGGGCAGGTACCGGGTGGAAAACTCCAGCGCGTGATTCACCCTCCTCCCGTGCCCGCCAGTGAGGCCAACACCCCTCCCGAGGTTCTCAGTTTCCAGCCTGGGAGTTGGTGGCTCCCACCCCACTGCTCTGATGAGAAGGGGCTGGCCCTGCCCTGCACATCCCATCCCCTTTTTCCTCTAAGCAGCCGGTACTGAGGGTGTGGGGGAAGGGACAAGGAACCAAGGAGGGGAGAAGAGGTCAGTATGAGACTCTAGTGGCTCTGGAGGGGTCGTCTTGGGACACTGCCCACTGGGAGGCAGGGGTGAGATGGAGGTGGGGGCTGGGGACAGAGGACCTGACTTCCTGAGGTTGGATGTTGTAATCCTAGTTCACAAACTTTTGGCCTCAGTCCCTCCTGTTGCCTGTGGTGTTTCTCTGCCCCCTCACTTCCCAACACACTGGTGCACGCTCACTCACACGCTCACACTCACACACAGAGGCACTCCGTCTGGGAGTCCCAGGACGGTGACTGGGATGGAATTCTGAGCTGGGAGGACAGGAGAAGCCCAGGTGCAGGACAGTTTTCCTGTCAGGCCTGTCTCTTTTGGCCTTCTGGTAACAGCTTTCCGGGGACTGACGGGGGACCTGGGCATGGAGCTGAGCTGACCACAGGAGCGGATCGGGGCTGAGGTGAGCAGGGGGTCCAGGGTGGCACCTGTCTTCACAGCCTCAGAGGGGCTGGAGGAGACCTGGGAGGCAAGATGGGGGAAGTGTGTGTGTGTGTGTGTGTGTGTGTGTGTGTGTGTGTATGTGTGTGTGCGCGCGTGCGCGTGCAGTAAGGTGGGGTCAGAGGGACATCTGATGTCTGGGAATCCCAGGACAAGTGTGTCCCCTCACCATCTATAGCATCTGCTTGGCTTAGGGACACACTGGGAACGTCCATCAGTAGGGGGCTGGCCACAGGGAGTGGGTGGGAGAGGGGGTGAGCACCTGACTGAGAAGGAGGGGGAAGCAGACAGTGCCCAGCAAGGTGGGAAGAGCAGACAGGAGAAATCTGGGGGCTTTCCTGGAGGCCCCTGGTTCAATTAGGACCACAGGTGAGGGGCTCCTGCCCTTCACCCCTGGTCAAACAGGGAGGGACGAGCCAGGAGCCAGTGTCCCCCAGGAGGAGGAAGCTGCCCCGCTCAGCGGTGCCAAGGAGGTGCGGAGGGGGGAGGCCTGGGCAGGCTGAGCCTGATGGAAGGGGCAGGTGGCCACCCGCTGAACCTAGCAGCCCACGGGTTGTGAAGGACTAGACGGAGCCAGGTTTTGGTACCATGCACACAGGTATGTGTGTGCAAAGGGACGTGACGGAATGGCACCAGTGTGCGTGCGGAAATGGGAACTGGTATGTGGGTGTGGGCTGAAGCCAGGGAGGGGGCGCTGGGGGCTGGGCTCTCCCAGGCTGTATCTGGGTGTGCACCGTACGACACTGGGCCCCAGAAGCATGGGGGGGGGCAGCATTTCTACACTCGGCTGCTCCTCTGCTAGACTGGCCAGGTCTGGGGTCTACATGCCCAGCTCCTGAAAGCAGAGGGAATTGTGGACTCATAGCCTCTTGAAGATTTCCTTGATGGGCAAATGAGCCCGTTGTAGGTATCAGTGCCTTGCTTCTGGAGGGCACTGATGCACAGTGAGGTCCATCTCACGCCTTCATGCCCTGCCCCAGCTTAGCAAAGCAGGCAGGCAGCCTGGGGGTGATGCTAGATGCTGGAGAGGAGACAGAGCTGGGGGGCACCCTTGGGAAGCGGGGAGTGTCCAGAAGTCAACTTGACTGGGTGGAGGGACACAGTGGGGCTGGGGGGAGGGCGGCAGGAGGGTGGGGTGTGCTGTCCTTTAGACTTTTTAAAGTGACTCCTAAAAAGAGATCTCTGTACTTTTTATGTCTAAACTTGTTTTATGTCTAAAATTCTGGACATTTCTTTCCTGAGTCTAACCTGAATCCCTCTTGCCTCGATCTAAGCCTGGTTCCCCTCAACTTGCCATGGGCTGGGCCAGCTCTCCTTGTCACACGCTCTTGCTTTCACTCTGCCATTCCAGTTTTTCGTTCTTACCCATAAATTGTGCTCCTACCAATAGCCCTTTTTAACTCTTTTTTTTTTTTTTAACATGTCATATCAGTGTTGGCTCTTCAGTCCGTGCCCTCCTCTCTCCTCCCCCATCCCCAATGCAGCCCGAGTCCTATGCCCAGTCTGGGCTCTGGGCTTTGCTTTCCCATCCCTCCCTCTCCTCTGGTTTCCCTTCTTTCATGCTTTTCCCCAGCAGGTCTCCCGTCCGACTGCTGAGAACAGCTTGGCCCTGAAACAGCTGCCTGTAGGCTGGGCACAGTCAGGCTTGTCACCTGACCAGCCCTTTGGGGACCCTTGTGCTTGGGTTTGCCCTGAGCTGAGCTATCCTGTGGCTTGGCAAGCAGAAGCAATGATCTCTCCTTTTTTATGGGCCTCATTTTATTCCCTTCCTTCCCAGCACCTCCCTGAACATGGGCCATTCTGTCTTCCAGGGAGACTTAAAGCCCAGAGAGGAGGTATAATTTGCCTAAGGTCACACAGCAAGTAGAGACTCAGCTCTACCACTTTTTATTGTATTGGTAAGTACATTCAAACCATTCAAAAACAGTTTCACTGAGCATCTGCTGGGTATCAAGTCCTGTTCCCTAATCTCTGTGAGCTTCTTTCTTCTTTTATAAAATAGAATCAATAGTAATGCCTACTTGAAAGATTTTTATGAAGATAAAATGTAATAACTTATATAAAGATGTGTATGTTTTTAGTATAGTGCTTAGTCAAATGTTAAGTTTTATTATTATTATTATTATTAGCTAGGCCTGGACTAGACCTTGGGTTTCCTGTCTAGTGCTCTTTTCATCAGTGTTTTTGAGCCCATCCATCCATCCATCCACCCACCCACTTGTCTGATAATGATTCAGGGGCCTTTCCTTAGGGTGCCCAGCTTCCTCCTGTGGCAACACCCGCAGCTACTTCAGGTATCACTAACTTTTCCTCTGGGGCCAAGCTGCCCTGCTCTTTCAACCTTAGGCTCTGGTTCCCAAAGCCCCCGCACCCCCGGGGCCTGGCCCCTTCCTGGGAATCTGGAGCTCTCTCCCCTCCCTCCCCTCCTCCTCTCTTGCACCAGAGGCTGAGGGCCTTTGGTTTCCACTGGGGGCCTCTATCATCTTCCCTCCGGGCTGAGCATGCGATGGCAGCCTCTGAGCAGGTCCTAACACCAGCATTCCCCTCCGACACGCTTTCCCATTCCTGGGATAACCTGCACCCTCCGAGTCACCTTCAAAAATTTCCAGAACCTCAGAGGCCCCTGCCACGCCTTTCTAGCTGACTTGGCCTTGGGCCGTTGCCTGGGTTAAAAGGACCAACAAGTAAACACAGCCTCTTCTTTTAATAAAAAGAATCCCTTGTGTCTCTCTAGAGCCTGGAGGAACATGGAGCCCTTGTCAGCTCCTGGTCGCCTTGATTTCCCCAGCACCCCTCGGGAGCGAGGGGCAGTGGTGGGTGTCTCCCTCTGCAGCCTGGGTACCTTCTCCCGGAAGGTCTCTAGAAGAAGCAGTGGAGGTGGCCTCAGTGACTGTGTGTGGCGGGTAGAGAGGAAGGCAAACAGGGATTCCAGACACAGTGCCACAGTGCTGCAAGAATGGGAGGGGCAGTAAAGCAGAGTGGCCGTGCCGTCTTCCTGGAAGTCCAGGGAGCTCGGGCTCTCTGGGAGCCAGGAAGGGCTGGGGCCTGGTGTCACTGGCAGCACGTCTGGGCCTCCCTTGAGGGGCCACTCTGATCTGAGATGACCATTACCCAAGTGGGAATTGCTCTGGTGACCTCTTTCACCACCAGGATCCCTGTCCAATCTCAGAGAGAGGTGCAACTGAAAGAAAAAGAACCAGGGCTCCTTCGAAGGCCTGGGGTTGGCCCTGGCACCAATCCCAGTCCCCGTCTGGCATGTTCAGAGGCCCCACCTTCCCGGTCCCTCCCAATCAGATGCCCAAAGCTAGCTGGCTCCCATGTTTACCCTGAGCAATCGATCTCCCTGGCACAGGGGTGAGCACACAACTGACCAGGGGAAGACTATGCAGTCACCTTGGCCACAGCTGCCCTTTGACCTCCCATCACCCCTGGAAGCCTTTGATCCCTTCTGGCCTGGAGAAAGGAGGCTGGACCGGTGCCACTCACTGGACACAGAGGCCTGGGGCAGGCAGGCCAGCAGGGATGGCAGCTGGCTGTGAAGATCAGGGGGACTTGGAATGAAAGGGCCCCAAACCAGGATTTTACTACCGGTGTATCCTGAACGGTCTTAGGCAAGTCACTTCATCCACCAAGGCCTGGATTTTCCCATCTGCCATATGTGCAAACTAAGATTTGTTCCCTATTTGTTCTCAGAGTCAGGAGAACAAAGTGTGATTAGGTGTAAATGTCATTGAGAGTCTGGGAAGAGAACCAGTAGTCCAATGATAAGAAACAACATTCCAACAGTATTAAATATTAAAGCAATAGTCCAACAATAGCAAAAGACTAGGATGGTGAAGATGGGTGGTGGGCATGTGTGGGATTGTACAGCCCATTCCCTCTCCTCCCACCAGGGGGTGCCTCCCTCACCATCCTGCCCTGCTCCCAGCTCTGTGGCCTCCCATGGCTACGGACAGGAAAGTGGTGGTCCACGGGGATGGGCCTCCTGCAGTCTGCTGGGCTGCTGAGAATGGAGAGAAGCTGGACCAGGAAGGAGAGGACCAGGTGAAGGATCGGGGCCAATGGACCAACAAGATGGAGTTCGTGCTGTCAGTGGCCGGGGAGATCATTGGGCTGGGCAACGTCTGGAGGTTTCCCTATCTCTGCTACAAAAATGGAGGTGGTGAGTTCATTTTGAGGTAGGCGTGGTGGGGGAGAGCCGTGCCTGCTAGCCAGGCAGCCTGCCTGGGCAAACTCCTGCCTGGGCAGTGCAGTGGAGTGAAAGGAGTCTGCCATGCAGGTGGAAGACTTGAGTCTGAGTTCCAGCTCCACCACTGGCCTCAGTGTGCCTCTCTGTGAAATGGGGATGGTCCCCCACAGGGCTGCCATAAAGACTAAGTGAGCAAGGGGCAAGACCTGGGAGTCTGAGTTTTGAATGGGCCTCTTCCTTACTCTATACAAATGTCAGTTGTTCATAGAGTCATTCATTCTTTCAGCTGGTATTACTCTGGGCCTCTCATGTGCCAGGCACTGTTCCAGATACAAAACAGATCATGTTCTGTGTTGTATTCCAGGGAAGGTGGCAGACCACAGATAAATAAGGAGAATGTGGTATGTCGCACAGTGATGAGTGGAATGCGAGGAGCAAAGCAGGAAGGAGGCATAGAAGTGCTGGGACGCGGAAAGGGGGAGGAGCTGACACGTGAAATAAGGTGACCAGGAAAGCTTTCCTCAAGAAGGTGACATTTGAGCACAGATTTCAAGGAGGAAAGGGAAGAATCTTATGAATAGATCTCAGGTGAAGAACATCCCAAACAGAGGCGCAGCCAGCGCACAGGTCCTGGGGTGCACGTTCAGCAGGCATGTTTTAGGAGCAGCAAGAAGGGGAGTGACAGATGGGGGAAATAATAGGAGGCGAGGACAGAGCTCTAGCAGTTCAGATCCTGTACGCTCCGCTCTGAGGGAGAGGTGGGAAACATGGAAGAATTTTGGTTAGAGCAATGATGTTATCTTGCGTATGGTTTTTTTAAATGAAAGAAACATGATTTTGTGTTTATCATTTTTCAGCACTGGTAGTAAAAATGATCAGGAGCCTGTAGGGAGGGGCCAGATTAATCTTTTAAAGTGTGCAATTCCATGGTTTTAGTACATTCACAGAACTGTGCAACTATCACCACAACTAATTTGAGAACATTTTCATCATCCCCAAAAAGAAGCCCCCTCCCCTCCCCATCTCCTCTCCCCACCAGCCCTTGGCAACCACCAGCCTACTTTCTGTGGCTACGGACTTACCTATTTGGGATATTTCAAGTAAATGGAATGATTCATTTATACGAGTTTATTTGTCACTGGCCAGATTCATTTTTGCCATTATTCCTTTTGTGGAAATGATACATGTTTGTTGAGAATTTTGTCAACATTCCAGAAGGATAAAAAGAAGAAACATTACCACTCAAAGATAGCCACTGTTTAGAAAATCCTTTTAAATGCTTTATTTAATTTGATGAATATTTACTGAGCATCTACTGTGTATGTTGTTCTACATTTGCAGACTTACAGTTATTATTACAAACTTGCTTGAGCCAATGACTCACAGAAATAGAAATGGGATTTCTGGGCAGGTCAGGGCTCTGGCACCAAGACTGGGCGCAGGGGCCTGATGCTGGGCCAGACATTAGGTGGGGCAGGAAGATAGGGTAGAGGCGGACACTTATTTCTTTGCCTCAGGCCACAGTTTCATGGACAGATAGGACGTTAGAAAGAGAGCTACCAGTGATCTAGTCTGTCCCCTCATTTCCTGCAGAAGGACACAGAGGCCCAGAGGGCTCGGCGACTTGCCCCAGACCACAGAGCTGGGTGGTGGCCGGCGTGCTGGCCCCCACACCACTGCATGTGCCTTGCTCTGCCATGTGAGGGGAATGAGGGCCCAGGACACAGGCCTTTGGGTTCCCACTGCCCTGCCTCTGTCCCGCCCAGTGGATGTGGCCTGTGTATGTGGGGTGGGGTAGAAGGATAGCATGAACCTTCAGGGACCCTGGCCCGAGCTGGGTCGTCTGTGGAGCGGCAGGACAGGGAGGCACGTGCAATGTAGGCTGTGTCCTGCTCTGCCCCTGAACTCTCACTTTGGCTCGGTCCCCCTAACTACGTGGACACACTGCCATCCTGCATCCTGCTTCCTTCACTTTCATGAGGGGCTGAGAAAGGTCAGGGGTCCCAATCTGGAGTTGCTGGTCTTTGGGGTCTAGGAAAGCAGTATCAAAGGTCCAGGAATTAGTGTCCTTATGTCAGACAACCTAATGGATCCATGTGGGACCACACTGCTCGGACTAACTCAGTGGCAACCTTTGACTTTAGGCTAGAATGTACTAACTCAGTGAGGTAATAGACTTATCTCATGCTGACCATAAGCCCTGGGTGTCCGTGAAATAAGTTTTTCTGTAGTTTTTACTGTAGTATTGAACAACCCCAGGTTAGAGGCATTGACCACCCAGCACAGTAAAAAATCTGCATTTAATTTTGGACTCCCTTGAACCCTTCCCTACAAATAGCCTACTGTTGACTGGAAGCCTTACCCATAACATAAACAGCCGACGAACACATATTTCACATGTTAAATGTATTATATACTGTATTCTTCCAGTAAAGTAAGCTATAGAAAAGAAAAGGTTTTTTCAAATTGTCACCCATCTCCAGAAAATTTTGCCATGTATTTATTGAAAAAAAAATCTGCATATAAGCAGAACTGTGCAGTTCAGCCTGTGTTGTTCAAGGGTCAACTGTACTATATCAATTGTTTATTGGTTAATAATTGGTTAATTGGTTATCAACTGATGACTAATAATAAGTAAATGATTAATTGGCAATTAATTATTAGGTGATAAAAAGTTCTGTAAATAAAAAATTTCAAAAAGGATAAAAAATAATAGTTATTGATCTAATAATGTTTTGGTTATGAAAAAGCAGGGAATCATTAAGCTAGATTATCTTCAAGAAATTAGAATTTTATGAAATTCTAAGTTTCTGGATCATCAGTGACAGAGATAATCAGGCATACCTCGAGCAGAGGGAGGGAGGTTTTAAACAAGCCTTGAATCAGAACCCTTTGGGACATCATCAGGCTACTTGTGTGTGCGGGCAGATGCCAGTAACAGGGTGGGTGGGGCCAGGCTGACCTCCCAGAAGAGGCTTCTGAGCAGCTCATCAGAGGGGGCGCATGTGCAGTGGTTCATAGGCCAGAAACCTAGGGAGAAACCCAGGGATGCAGAACTACTCCCTACACTGCCTCCAAAGGTCCAGGCCTAGTGCTGCCCTTAAAGGGTGGACTCAGCCTGCGAGAGGCCCAGCTCCCAGCCTACTAAGGCCGCCTCATTTTCTGTGGGCCAGAAGGGCAGAACTGAAGCCAGCTCCTTTAGAAATGGCAGGGACCTCCACACAGCCAATGGGAGTGAGCTCATGGGTCATGTGCCCCCACAGACTTTCTGTAAGGTGCTCTCTGGGAGAGCCTGCAGACACATCCCTTCTGAACTCTGCCCCTCAACCTAGCCCCTGCAACTATCTAAGCCACATAAACTGGAGTTGGCGGTGGTACTGGCATTGTGTCTACTCATGTTCTAGCATCACTCAGCATGTAAAAGCAAGCATGCGGCTAAGAAGGACATCAGAACTTGATGGAGAGTTACTGGCTTGCTGTGGCTCTCTAGGGCCCAGAAAGTTCACCCATCCTTCTCCTTTACACTCACGTTGTAATGGGAAGTGCAGTCTGGAACAGGAGTTCGGGAGGGCAGTTTAGAAATGCATGTCCAAGACCTTAAAAAAATGTTCATGCCCAAAAGGTAGGAGCAACCCAAATGTCTGTCAATGGATGGATGGGTAAACAAAGTGTGCTTAAAAAGGAAGGAAATGCTGACACATGCCACAGTGTGGATGAATCTTGAGGACGTCATGTAAGTGAAATAAGCCAGACACTAAAGAATAAGTACTATGTGATTCCTCTTATAGGAGGTCCTAGAGTAGGCAAATTCACAGGGAGAAAGTAGAACGGTGGTCGCCAGAGGCTGGGAGAGTGGAGCGTGGGAGTCGGTGTTTAACCGGTACAGAGTTTGAGTGTGTGATCATGAGAAAATCTGGAGATGGATGGTGGTGATGGCTGCACAGCAATGTTCATGTACTTAATGCCACTGGACTAAAATGGTTAAATGGTATTAAAATTCATGTTATGTATATTTTACTGTAAAACCAAATTATGCATCCCCTCTGACCAACCAATTCCTCTATTGGAAATTTATACCAAGAAGCAGATTAGACAAGTTCACAATAGTCTTCATCACAGCAGGGTTTCTAATGAAACTGTCAAAAAGGCCAATAGAGGTACTGAAGAAATGAACAAGGATAGAGGCATGAGGAGTCCTCTCCAGCCACTAAAACAACAATGTGCATGTACACCCACTGATACCATGAACATGATATATTTAAATGATTATCAAGTAGTATGCCGTAGGTTCCCATTTGGGCAAAAAGGGAAACACATATGTGTGTTTATAAGAAAACTGGAAGGACACACACTACCTTTGCCTTTCTTTCCCTTTTTACTTACATTTTTCCTGCGCAGTGATACGATGACTTGAGAGGCGTGATGCAGTGGCTACGCGCATGGACTCTGGAGCAGACCGCTTGGGTCTGTACCTCTGTGTCCTCATCTATGTCTCAGTTTTTGAATCTTTAAACTGGCATCAGTCTCCCATCTGCAAAATGGTAGTAACAATTGTATCTACCCCGTGGGAGTTGTTCTGTGAGGATTTCAGTGTTAGTGAAGCAGTGGCGCCCAATTAGTGCTGGGTGTCATCACTGTGCAGTGAGCACTACACCCGGCTGCGGATTCACCGCTGATGGGAGGTGCGGTCTGAGCTGCTGAGGGGGCAGTGTGTGCGGGCTTAGGGTTGGTTCAGTCTGTGCCTCTAATTCGCTGGATGTCTTTGAGCCCCGGCCTAACCATAGGGCTGCTGAAAACCCAGTCCCCAAAAATCTGCCTGAGCGAGGAACGACCCCCTGTGCTGGGAGCCCAGTTAAGTCAGAGTTTGGTGGAGGGAAGAAAACCTGAGAATCATTAGAAGGAAAATAACTTTTCCAAGGTGTTTCTGTTTCTTTTTCTTTAAAATATAACTCAATAATTTAATAAGCATATCAAATTATACAGAGTATGCTTTTCTTCCAAAAATACTGAATTGACTGAATAGATTTGTGAAGCACAGTGAGAAACTATAGTGCCTATGTTAGGATTTCTGCTTAAATTTTCATTCATTTCCTTTCAAGGTCTTTCCCACCCAGAAAGGGACTCAGATGAAACTGTGTACCTGTCCCTGCCTGTAGACAGGAGGAAGCTGACCTGGGCCCTGGGAGGGGTGAGGCCGGCGGCCGAGGGTGGGGCTGCTAGAGCCCAGGTCTCAGGGGGCCTTGGCCAAAGCTCAGGCCCCGCCTCCCCCTCCTCCCAGGAGCCTTCTTCATCCCCTACTTCATCTTCTTCTTCACCTGTGGCATCCCGGTGTTCTTCTTGGAGGTGGCATTGGGCCAGTACACCAGCCAAGGGAGTGTGACAGCCTGGAGGAAGATCTGCCCCCTCCTCCAGGGTGAGTGCTCCCTTGCCCTCCTTCCCCAGCCCCACCAGGCCCCCATCCCTCTGTCACCCTCCATCACCATCTTCTTCATTCCTCCCCTCTCATCCTGTGCTAAGTGTGTGGGGGTCATCAGCCTTTGTGGGGCCCAAAGCTTATCAACCCTGGGGAGGAAGGCCCTCCTCAAGAAAGAAAATACAAGGTCACCAGTGCATAGCTAGGTGCGGACTTGGAAGGTGCCCTTGCAAGGGAGGAGCCCTGAAGCTTCATCTTTATCAGCTTAGTGGAAGTGTGTTCCTGTGCTTGCGGGTGGGGCCCCAGATGCGCCTCCAGAGCATGTGATAATATGGTGATGATAATGCCTCACATCTATGCAGCCCTATTAGGTGCTAGGGTTCATTTAAGAACTTTACATACATTTCCTTAGCTAATCCTCCAGTAATAACTCTATTTGTTAGATGAAAATAACTCTTGGTTATTTGTACATAAGAGAAATGAGGTCATTGTCTAAGGATTAGAGCCCAGGTGTACCTGAGTGGAAAGTGCACGCTCTTTCTGACCTTAAGGGGTACATTTAGGGGCAGCTCCTGATCCTCTTTCTGGAGATCTGTCGGCACTAATGTGAGCAGCTGGGGTGTCCTTCTGTCACCCCATGTTTAGTTGATTAGGCCAGAACCCTGGAGCCCCATTGGAAAGCCAAGAGCCTCCTTGTCCCTGAGAGGTTCCTTGTATGTTTGAATGGAGAGAGGACTCCTCCCCTCCTGCCAGTCCCTAAGGAAGCCCCAGGGACCAGGCCATCTGGGAGTGCTGCCCAGCTTAGGAGGATGGATGCACAGGACATGATGGGGGAAACAATGACCAGTGGTTGGGTATGTAGGGGGAGGCAAGGCTAGCCTGGTACTGATTCCTCTTGGGGCATCTGTGGCACCCCTGCAGGGGCAGCAAGGGGCTGGACAAGTGAGGCTTGGCCCACCTATGTTTGCACTGAGTTCTGGGTGCTGCAGGAGGGCTGTGGCCTCAGCCAGAGCACACAGTTTCTGGTGTTCTGCTCTGGACCCCAACAGTAACCACCCATTGGGTTCTATCCGTCTGTCCAAACAAGCTCACGGTAGCACAAACATGGGGTGGCCTCCCTGGCAGATGCACTTAGTCTCCCAGGGGCACCACTGCCAGGGTGGGCAGCACGGGCACTGGATGGGGGCTGGGAGATTGCTGCTCCTAACTTCCATTCCAAGTTGAAGAGACCCCAACGCCTGGGGTCTCAGAAAGAGGCTCACTCCTGGTGTGTGCACCTGTGTTGGTGGGCCAGTCCAGGCTGCTTACTGCCTGCTCTCTCCAGCCTGGCTGCCCCTGCCCCACATGCCCTCTCCCAGCCAGACTGTGCACAGTGGGCACAGAGGAGACACACCCTGTGCTCGCCCACACCCTCCCCCCTCAATTTACACCATGACACCAGCTCCCTGCCCTCAGAGCTGGGGCCGCCCGCTCCTCCCAGACTGGCACCCTGCCTCCTCCTGCCCCGCGTTTCTAGGTGGTGGGGACAGGCGGGAGGCTGAGGCACAGCACATCCGGGGCGGCGCCAAGCTGCGCACAGTGGCCCCTTGTCCGCATGAGTGCACGCCTGTGTGCTCACTAACCCTCCCGGCTCCCCAGGAGTCGCCTCGCCACCAGCAGCTCCAGCCACCTCCCCTCCCCAGGTCCAGCCCGAGGTTGTCCGGGGTCCCTGCCCGCCTTAGCCGGACACTTTGCGGCTTTTGTCCCCCAACGGCCTGGATGCTTCTCAGGGGCCCCAAAGCAGGAGCACCCTCCGGCCTCCCGGCGAGTTTGCCAGGCCAGTGGGACCAGACATCGGTGTGTGTGTGGGGGGGGGGGCTCGCCTAACCAAACGGTGGTTTTGTGGACAGTCTGCATCGATTCTTCGACCTGCCCGGGCTGCTGGGTTGTTTTCCCCAACAGTCCTTCATTAAACACCTCTTGGGCCTCGAGTTCCCGGGACGCAAGACAAACCAGTGGACGCTGCCCCCGCCCCCGCCCCCGCCCCCGCCCCCGCTGCTTCCTCCGCGGACCCCTGGCCGCCCCACAGAGCGCAGAGAGCCGCAGGGAAAAGCTGCGCCCTGCAGGCGGAGCGGGTGGCGGCGCCCGCCCGGCAGGTCCGCCCCGAGGGGGCCCCCGGGCGCCCGGTCCGCCGTGCCACGCCCGTTCCCGCCCCGCTGCGGGGGGGGGGCCGGCGTTCTGGGCCGACTCAGGCCCTCGGCTCTGGACGGCGGCCGCTTCTCTCTCCTTGCGGGTTCCTTCTGGGCTTTGCTCCTACCCCGAGACCGATGCTCACCAAGATTTCTCTTCTTACTCCTTCGTTCTTCCTGCCCCTTTTCTTTCACAAGTAAGGCTTGACTGTCACAGAAAACGAGGGAATGCAGATAGACAAAAAGAACAAAAAAGTGAACTGAAATCCCATCACCGGAGAACCACTCGTTAATTTTTAGATGTTGATCCTTCCAGTTTTCTCATTAAAGAAAAAGACATGCATTCAAGTGTGTGCTATAAAAATGGGAGGACAAGAACAGTGTTCGGTAACTTGCACTTCTCAGAAAAATGTGCTGTACGTGGCTTCTCGTGCCCGTGAATAAACCCTGCAGGTTCTTTGCATGGCGTCCGATACTCCACCCACAGCTGGCAGCGCCCTTGGGGCTCTGGGCTGACGCTGACCTCTTCGGTTCTCTTGTTGCCCCCACCCCTCCGGTGCTCCTGAAGGCATCGGCCTGGCGTCCATGGTCATTGAGTCCTACCTGAACGTGTACTACATCATCATCCTCGCCTGGGCCCTCTTCTACCTGTTCAGCTCCTTTGCCTCTGAACTGCCCTGGACGACCTGTACCAACACCTGGAACACAGGTAGGCATTGTTCTGGCCCTGCCATGGGGCCTCTCCCTAGGGGCTGGTGCTGGGCGAACAGTGATGGAGCGCATGGTGGAATTTGCCTCAAAGCCATGCCATGAGGGCTCGGAAGGCAGTTGTGCTGGCTGACCCTTCTGTGGGACTTGACCTGGCCCACCCTTCTGTGGCACCATAGACCAGGCGCTAGGAGAACCGAAAACCCAGTGGGACTGGGAATGTCTTGTGTGACTGCATGTTATCACCACTCCCCATCCACTCACTTAAGAAGTGTGTCCTTTGTGCCTACTATGTGCTGAGCTCTGCCGGGTGCTGGATGTCCAAGGGAGAACACCAGCCTTCACGGGCTATATGGTCTGGTGGACAAGTTCACAAAACAGTTACAAAGGCGACAGGCGGGGAGGCCCGAACTGGGGGCTGAGGGACAAGAAAGAGCCCCACGTAGGAACAGCATTTTGCTGGGAGAGGAACAGACCAGAGGACTCCATCCATGTGCCCATGCAGGCTGGGGGAGAAGTGAGGGTGGGATGGGGAGAAGGGGCAAGTGAGGACAGTGCTGTCCACACACAGGGGCAGACCTGGTCACAGGTAGGTTGTGGGGAGGCCAGAAGGGCAGCCGACTCACTGGAACAAGAGCAGTACTAAGCCCATGGGCAGGGGTCCCGTTAACACCTGAGCAGCCAGTTCCGGACCCTCTGGAAAGTGGAGGCTGCAAAGGAAGCGCTTGGGCCCGGGCATGGTGGGGGCCTCCAGGCTGCGGTGCCAGAGGGTCGGGAGACTAGGGTGTGAGGGTGTCTCTCCCATATGGCCAGCTCATGTATACCCCTGTTCTTGTGTGCTATAAAAATGGGAGGACAAGAACAGTGTTCGGTAACTTGCACTTCTCAGAAAAATGTGCTGTACGTGGCTTCTCGTGCCCGTGAATAAACCCTGCAGGTTCTTTGCATGGCGTCCGATACTCCACCCACAGCTGGCAGCGCCCTTGGGGCTCTGGGCTGACACTGACCTCTTCGGTTCTCTTGTTGCCCCCACCCCTCCGGTGCTCCTGAAGGCATCGGCCTGGCGTCCATGGTCATTGAGTCCTACCTGAACGTGTACTACATCATCATCCTCGCCTGGGCCCTCTTCTACCTGTTCAGCTCCTTTGCCTCTGAACTGCCCTGGACGACCTGTACCAACACCTGGAACACAGGTAGGCATTGTTCTGGCCCTGCCATGGGGCCTCTCCCTAGGGGCTGGTGCTGGGCGAACAGTGATGGAGCGCATGGTGGAATTTGCCTCAAAGCCATGCCATGAGGGCTCGGAAGGCAGTTGTGCTGGCTGACCCTTCTGTGGGACTTGACCTGGCCCACCCTTCTGTGGCACCATAGACCAGGCGCTAGGAGAACCGAAAACCCAGTGGGACTGGGAATGTCTTGTGTGACTGCATGTTATCACCACTCCCCATCCACTCACTTAAGAAGTGTGTCCTTTGTGCCTACTATGTGCTGAGCTCTGCCGGGTGCTGGATGTCCAAGGGAGAACACCAGCCTTCACGGGCTATATGGTCTGGTGGACAAGTTCACAAAACAGTTACAAAGGCGACAGGCGGGGAGGCCCGAACTGGGGGCTGAGGGACAAGAAAGAGCCCCACGTAGGAACAGCATTTTGCTGGGAGAGGAACAGACCAGAGGACTCCATCCATGTGCCCATGCAGGCTGGGGGAGAAGTGAGGGTGGGATGGGGAGAAGGGGCAAGTGAGGACAGTGCTGTCCACACACAGGGGCAGACCTGGTCACAGGTAGGTTGTGGGGAGGCCAGAAGGGCAGCCGACTCACTGGAACAAGAGCAGTACTAAGCCCATGGGCAGGGGTCCCGTTAACACCTGAGCAGCCAGTTCCGGACCCTCTGGAAAGTGGAGGCTGCAAAGGAAGCGCTTGGGCCCGGGCATGGTGGGGGCCTCCAGGCTGCGGTGCCAGAGGGTCGGGAGACTAGGGTGTGAGGGTGTCTCTCCCATATGGCCAGCTCATGTATACCCCTGTTCCCCCTGCCCCCACCCCCTTGTAACCAACAGAGCATTGCATGGACTTTCTGAACCGTTCGGGAGCCAGTGCGGTGACCCCCTCTGAGAACTTCACCTCGCCTGTCATGGAATTCTGGGAGTAGGTGCCGGGCCTGGATGCCAAACTGCGGGTCCCTTGAGCAGAGGAGATTTGGATATCTGAGGCCTGGGACTTGGGGTGCAAATTTAAGCCTCTCTGTGCATGCCTTCTAGCACTTATCCACCACCCAGGACCCACACATCACTGAGATATGAGAGAACACCCACACGTCTACCCTCACTTGTCCACCTGCTGTTACACCATGTCTACCTGTGTCACACATTTATCCACGTTAGCTTGCATCTCTCCATGCCTGACCACAGCCTTGCGCCCACCCACACCCCACACGTCCACCTCCCTTCCCTCATCTCCTGCCCATGTCCACCGTGCGGTAGCTTGAGACTGGCCAAGGTGGGAGTGTTTACAGCACAGAAGTTGGCAAACCCTACATTCCATGCCCACCTTCCCACAGGATTGCTCACACCCACACACACACCCATGCCCACATGTGCCCACCTCATTCTCACACATGCACTTCCACCTCCCCCATATACCTCTTTGGGTACTAAGACACATTCGGCTCCTCCATTTGATCACACAAACTCAGCCCGTCAGCCTGCATATGTAAAAATTCACTCTCTTTATGGTTTTTCGTACATTCCCTATCACTCTCCCTCCTCTCCCTCTCCTGCCTTCTCTCTGTCTCTGCGTGACAGAGACAGCTGCTGGATGAGTTAGAAAGACAGAGATACCCATGGGATCACGTGCTTTAGTCTCCCAACAGCCAGGGAAATGCAGACCACAGGTGGGACATAGCGTCACCATGGAGAGGGTGGAGTGGGGCAGGAGTCAGGGGCGCCTGCAATAGGAGATATGTGGGGTCAGCTTGAAGAATCAAGAAGTTTGATGACAGAGGCAAGCTGTCTCCATCAGCCTTTCACCTGGTGGTTTATTTTTTCCAATCCTTCAGGAGACGTGTTCTGGGCATCACCTCGGGCATCCATGACCTGGGCACCCTGCGCTGGGAGCTGGCGCTGTGCCTCCTGCTCGCCTGGGTCATCTGCTACTTCTGCATCTGGAAGGGGGTCAAGTCCACTGGCAAGGTGAGGCGTTCCGGCTTCTGGTAAGCTCTCTGTGGCCCCCAGGGTCTATGGGGTAATCCACAGGGTGCCCTGGAGAGCTAAAAGAGAGAACAGTATAAGGATGAGCACAGGGGAAGTCATAGAGGGCAGGATTTAGCTCAATACAAGGAAAGACTTTCTTTTTCATTGTGACTTTAAAAGAACTGTTTACATCAGTAATATACAGAGCAAACTAAGAAACATAAAAGTACCACTGTCAGAGCTGATCTCTGTACGAGTCATCAGCATCATGCAGGTGGGATCTCCTGATCCTTGTAAATGTGCTGTTTGCTTTCCAGTTTCCTTTATGTGTATGTATGTGTGTATCTGCACCTATTACGCATGTGTAGTATGTAGAGAAGATCATACACTCCTGTGACTTGCCTTTTGTGTTTAACAACACATCCAAAGTTTACTATGAATGAATGAACAGAACTGCCTTAGAGTTGCTCCCTCATTGAAGGGGTGATTTGATTGGTGTTCCCAATCATCGATGAGTTTCCAGGCATTGAAGGGGTTCAAGCCAAGAATGGACAGCAGGGTTTGTTGTATGTATAGAGTTCAGATTGAGCATTATTTCCAGCTCAGAGCATCTGAGATTGATGCTTTATGCTCTGAAAGCCAGGAATAGACAGCGTACCCACTTCTCTGGAGACTGTTCTGCCAGCAGCCTCCCCCTTCCCTGGATTGCTGTAATACTAATAACAGCAATAGCAACAGTAATGGTAAAACCAGTCATAGTAACAGTATACAGTGCTGCTGCCTCAGGGGACAAGCTGAGCTTGGTGCAAGCAGAGTGGAGCCCCTTAGAGTGTCTCCAGTATCCCAGAGCTCATGCTCCCCAAACTTGAGCCTAGAAAAGTGTCCCCACGGATTGCTGTACAAATCTGCCCACCCTCTGCCTAGTGAAGGGAGTCCCACACTCACTGGGTGGCATGGGGAGAACAGCCAGGATGAGGGATTGCAGGCAACTGAATTCTGGATGTGAAAACAATCTTTGAAATGCAGATGGGCACCCGTGCCCCCACCCCATCCTTCCTCCTCCCCTGCCCTGCTGATGTGAATCACACACACTGCTGAAATGTGTGAAGGGAGGTGTGGAAAGATGCTTGTGCTCACCTCTCAGATGTCTCTAAGAAGGTGCTGGACACAGCTTGGGGTGGCCCTGCTGCCTGGGGAGAGGTGACAGAGGGCCACTACACACTCCCTGTCACTTCCTGGCTGCTTGTCCCCATCAGGAATGACCTCCACCTGCTTCCCACCCAGGTTGTCTATTTCACAGCCACCTTTCCCTACCTGATGCTGATCATCCTACTGATCCGAGGCATCACCCTTCCGGGAGCTTATGAGGGCATCATCTACTACCTGAAGCCGGATTTGCTCCGCCTCAAGGACCCCCAGGTAGGTACTGTACTGGGGACCATTTTCCTAGATGACTCACGCCCCAAACCAGATCTGCACTTGTGAAAATCTTATATTGCTTTGCTCTTTGTTTAAAGGCAAAATTGCCCACTGGAGAAAAATTAGGTAATAAGGAAGAAAATTATGGAAAAGGACCTAAAATCTCTTGTAATCCCACCACTCAGCTATAATCCCTATTAGTATTTTAGTACATTTCCTTCCAACTTTTTTTCTAGCTGGTTTTAACACAGTTGAGACAATTACATATAAAGACATATCTTTTTTCCCTTAAATCACACTGTAAGCATTTTTCATGTTGTTACTTGCACATGCACTCACATAATGTGTTCTCTGTGCATCATCCATCCATTCAGGCATTCAGCCAAGATGTACTGAGGACCCACTGAGTGTCTGCAGTGTTTGCACAATCCCGGAGGGCAGGGGACAGACACACAGGCTCCTCTGAGCACTACCCTGGGGCAGGTGTCCTCATCTGCCCAACTCTCCCCACTTCTTGGTTATTTAGGTCACGTAGTACTTTCAACACTTGTGTATATAGCTGAAATGGACACCTGTATTTAAGTCTTTGACCACATCTCTGATTATTTCCTGACAGTAGTTAGATGTGAATCTCCTAAGTGAGTGTGCACATTTTAAGGTACCTGAAATGTACTGGCTTTAGAAATACATAGACTTTCACTGTCAGTGTTAGAAGGGTCCCTGAGAGATTTGATAATAATTTATTTTAATCTTTGATAATTTGATAGATCAAAATGGTATCATTTTCTTGTTCTAACTGAATTTTTTAACCACTCTAAGGTTGGACATTTTCACACGAATTTATTGGTCATTTGTCCTAAGACTTGTCAGAGTATATTCTTTGCCTTTCCTCATGCCCAACCCCCCTCCCTGGTGTTTTTTTCTTTGCATTTCAATGAAGTGGGCCTTTGCCTTCTGCCTCGGAGCTCTGCCCTGCAGAAAGGCCTGGCCTTCTCTGGGTGTAGCCACAGGCTGTGCCTCCACCTAAGGCTCGACTGCTGTGCACTCACCTGGCGCCTACAAAGTGCCCACAGAGCCGAATTAAAAATGGACCTGTCGGTGAGAAGAGGAGCCGTGTGGGTGGAGAGCTGGATATAAGGAACCGTAGGGCCCACTGGGCCCAGTCGGTTCAGCAGGCGTGGGTCAGTCTGGCGGGCCCTGCTCCAGGCCCAGGCAAGCTCCCTCCCAATCTCCCTACTATTTTCTGGGGGTCTCGTAGGTGTGGATGGACGCAGGCACCCAGATCTTCTTCTCCTTTGCCATCTGCCAGGGGTGCCTGACTGCCCTGGGCAGCTACAACAAGTACCACAACAACTGCTACAGGTGAGGGGGCCCTGGGCAGCCTGCCTGCCCACGTTGGGGGTGGGGCCTGGGGAACCTGCCCAGGTTAGAGGTGGGGGTGCCCTGGGGAGCCTGCCCAGGTTGGAGGTGGGGGGCCCTGGGGAGCCTGCCCACATTGGAGGGGGGGCCCTGAGGTGCAGACTGGCAGTCGGGGGCCTAGGCCTTCCCCTTGTGTCATCAGGGGCTGTATTGTGTCACACTGACTTGTTGGGTTCATTTCCCAGACTGGATTTCCACCCTCTCCTCGATTTGCCCGCCTGCTCCTTTTCTTGGCTTTCTCGCTCCATTTCTCTCCTCCCACTTCTCCCTGAAGCTTCCTTTTGCCCTGTACCCACTTACTTTTTTTGGGTCCCCCAATGGTGGAATTCTTTCCCTCTTCCTTCCTGTTTCGCCTCCTTTGCTGCCGCAGGGACTGCATCGCCCTCTGCTTCCTGAACAGCGCCACCAGCTTCATGGCGGGCTTCGTGGTCTTCTCCATCCTGGGCTTCATGTCCCAGGAGCAGGGCGTGCCCATCTCTGAGGTGGCCGAGTCAGGTGGGTGCCCTGCTGTCTGGGACCCGAGGGGAAGTCGGGGTCAGAGCACAGATCCCGCCTGTAGAAAGGCAGGGTCCCAAAGCTGGGTGACTCAGCTATGGGTTGTTGGGGTGCTTTGGGGAGGCAGGCTGGGGAGAGGAACGTGGGCGCAGGGCCACAGCTGCATGTGGATGGACTGGTCACCGAGTCAGGTGGGTGCCCTGCTGTCTGGGACCCGAGGGGAAGTCGGGGTCAGAGCACAGATCCCGCCTGTAGAAAGGCAGGGTCCCAAAGCTGGGTGACTCAGCTATGGGATGTTGGGGCGCTTTGGGGAGGCAGGCTGGGGAGAGGAACGTGGGCGCAGGGCCACAGCCGCATGTGGGTGGACTGGTGGCTGAGTGAACGCAGAGCAGGGTAATGGGTACCACCCCCTGCCCTCCCAAGCTGCTGTTGCTACACACTCACCCACACACTCAACTTGCACACTCATACCCACCACACCCACACACACTCAATACATGACTCACATGCTTCTATACGCAACACACATCACATGAGCACATGCACTCACACCCACCTGCACCCCATGCTCACACACTCACACGCATAGTGCCCCCAAAAGTCTCCTCAGGGGTCGTGAGCACCCCTGTTTACCAGGTGTGTGCCTGGCAGGCCCCGGTCTGGCCTTCATCGCGTTCCCTAAGGCGGTGACGATGATGCCCTTGTCCCAGCTGTGGTCCTGCCTCTTCTTCGTCATGCTCATATTCCTCGGGCTGGACAGCCAGGTGTGTCAGCCCAGCCCTCCCCTCCCCGCTCCAGGGACCCCCTGGCCAGCTCCCACGTTCCCAGGCATCCCCCCAGCTCCCTTTCCCCTGACCATGCATTCCGAGCCGCACACTGCCATCCAGGGCTCTACCAGTGGGGAGCCCAGCCCTCGAGGTCCTCTTCTGTGAGGAGTCGCCTGCTATGTTCCCTAGGCCTGACCCCTGCCCACATGTGGACACCTCTCCTGCTGTCCCTCCAGCCTCCTTCCAGCCATTTGGCCCAGTCTGTCCAACACTGCCCCCAGCCTTGGGGACAGAACATATCTCCCCCCTCCAGCCCTCGCTGCTGGGACCCTCTGTGGTGGAGATGTGGCTGAGGGCAGGGCTGGCCTTGCACCCTTCCCACGCTCCTGGGCGTCCGCATGGGTGGGCATGGTGAGGGCGGCCAGGGTGGGGCCATGCTGGGCAAGCCCAAGGGCACTCCAGCTTCTCATCCCAGCTTCCCTCCCCTGTAGTTTGTCTGTGTGGAGTGCCTGGTGACTGCTTCCGTGGACACGTTCCCCAGGCAGCTCCAGAAGGGCAGGCGGCGTGAGCTCCTCATCCTCGCCATTGCTGTCGTGTGCTACCTGATGGGGCTCTTCCTGGTCACCGAGGTGAGCAGGGGCCTGCGGCCTGCAGGCCCCTCTCAGAGCCACACTACCCCCTCTGCTGACTGGGGGTGTGGGCCCCGCCCTCTTCCTCACAGGGAGACTGCAGGCCGCAGGGCGGGGATGCCTGTACTCATTAGCTCTCCTTTGGCCCCGGGTGACCAAGCAGGCTGGCTGAAGCAGAAAGGGGAGGTTTTGGTGTCAGGAGACTGAACCGTCCAGGCATGGTTTGGTTTCAGGTCTGGCCAGATCAGTCCACTCTAACGACGTTCGTGCTGCCCTCTTTCCTGGCTCCCTTTCCTCTGCTGCCTCATCCTTAGCCAGATGTCCCTCTGGATTTCAAAGAAGGCTGGTGGCTCCAGGCTTGCCTTCTGCCACCCAGCTGACCCCAGAGAAAAGAGTGGACCCTTTTCCTGAGCATGTGGCAAGTGTCTGGCCATGGCTCCTCCTCAGGCTGGGGCAGGGAGAGGAGCATGCTGAGGGCGAGGCAGTGTGACTCCCAGATAACGGGAGCTGGGCTGTCCACCACAGTTCTCAGCGTCCTTGCAGATGCCCGAGACTGTTGTCCTGCTGTTAGGCCTGAAGGCAGGGCAGGCAGGGTGAATTCCTGTTAGACACAAGGGAGACTCCGGCGGTCCGGCCCACACAGAGGCCTCAGCTTTGTCCCCTCTTCCGCAGGGCGGGATGTATATCTTCCAGCTGTTTGATCACTATGCTTCCAGTGGCATGTGCCTGCTCTTCCTGGCAGTGTTTGAGGTCATCTGCATCAGCTGGGTGTATGGTACGTGGGGTGGAGGGGGCCGGGGTGGGCTAAGCAAGAGCCTCTGGGGTCTGCCCAGAGTGACCCTCCAGTTTCTATGGGTCTCTGTAGGACCAGCCTAGTTCTTTTTACTGGACAGTTTCTGTGTTGCTGGGAACCCATTCATTTCTCATTTGGAAGGTAGAGCTGACATAAGGACAAAACCAGTTCCCTTGAAGAGTGAGAGCAATTATAAATAGCGGTGCCCAGTGTTTTGATACAGAAGCTGCCAGAGAACCTTCAGCAGCTTTCTGGCCATCTAGCCTGCTATGCTTGAGCACTGGGATCATTTCTATATTGCCATTTCTGACTTGAGACTGAATCCATCTCTGCACAAACAAGATGTGTATGACCACTGAGCTCCACTCCAAACCCCCTCCTCTATGTTAGCACAGGAGGGTCTTTACCCCTGGATAGCGGAACAAGAGATCGCACTGTGGTGAGATGACTCTCTCTCAAGGGCACCCAGCTTTTTGGCGGCAGCCCCTTCTCCATCCTCACTGCCTGCCCTGTGGCTGGGGTGCCAGGGACACGTCTCATCCTCACCCAGGTCCCCCTCACCGGGTGGGGGAGGGCACAGACCCAGGTGCTGCCCTGCTCCCATTCTCACACTCCTCGCCCACCCTGCTGGGCAGGGGCAGACCGATTCTATGACAACGTCGAGGACATGATTGGCTACCGGCCATGGCCCCTAGTGAAGATCTCTTGGCTCTTCCTGACCCCTGGACTTTGCCTGGTAGGTGCCCACCCAATGGCCCCTTACTCCCCCTGCCTCCAGAAGACCCCAGGGGTTGGGGAACAGGGTGCCTGAGCTCTGGCTCTTTTTCTGCCTCCCAGCTGCCCTGGGCCCAGCGTTGAACCCCCTGCCTATCCTGTCTGGGGCCGTCTCGTCCTTCCATTGACTTCACCACTGCCGTCCCTGATTCCAGCTCCTGCCCTATCCTTCCCCACAGTACCTCCACCCAGCTGCCTGATTCTTAGTCACTGGGGCCTGTCTGTCTGTCTGCTTGGATCTTCATCTCCTCCCCAGTCCCTGTTCAACCCCCTCCCTACTTCCTTTATACCCCCTCTGGTCTCAGTTCTCCCTGACTTACACCTGGCCCAGGCCTTGCAGTGACTTTTACCATCCCACCTCCTAGATGCACTGCAGTATAATTACCTTGTCCCTGGTCTTCTGGATATTTAAGTAGCTGAGGAGAGGGATTCAAGGGCCCTCTGTCTCATCTGCATCCCCTCTCCACCTGCCTAGGCCACCTTCCTCTTCTCCTTGAGCAAGTACACACCTCTCAAGTACAACAACATCTATGTGTACCCTCCCTGGGGATATTCTATCGGCTGGTTCCTGGCGCTCTCCTCCATGGTCTGTGTTCCGCTCTTCACCATCATCACCCTCCTCAAGACCCAGGGTTCCTTCAAGAAGGTAGGGGCCGGGGAAGTGACACACTGAATGAAGATACTGGGAGAGGTTAGATTTCAGGTAGGATCTCGTGGCTGGAGCCCAGTTCTGAGGGTGAGCAGCTCTTTGGTCTAATGGAATCTTAAAGAGAAGGGTTTTTGAAGATCAGTCCAATGGTTTCATTTTCAGAAAGGTTCAAAAATCCTAGAGCCTTCAGAATCTGACTTCTAGAAGATCATCTGGGCAAGTTAACCAAGGGTAAACTGTCAAAATGTTAAGGCAAAACTAAGTAACAAACAAGAACATAAATGTGCCCAGGCACAGAGGTTTATAGTGCAGATTCCTTGTGCTTGGGAGACGGATAACCAGCTATCATGGTTCATTCCACAGACTGTTTCCTGGCTTCTTTTCTTAACACTGCCTAGGGAACCACATACAAAAGGCTTCTTGATTAGAGTTTATGGCCTTCCTGGAAGGGAATATACAGCCAGTGTCCCACAAAAACATTACGTTTATAGAACTCTGTCTGGCCTTCAAGTAACAAAAAACCCAACTTACAATAAGCAAATTGGCTTATTTTCTTCTTACATATTGAGAAGACCAGAGACAGGGTATGCTGGCATTTAATTCAGCTGCTTAAAGCATCTAGAGACCAGATCCTTCCTGTATTTCTGTACTTTCTTCCTGAGCATGTTTTCTTTTCATCATCATTTTTATCACCTCATGGTCACAAGAAGGTTGTCATGACTCCAGTCATCACATCTGCATTCAAAGCAAGAAGGAAGGGGAGGAGATGGCACCAATGACAATATTAATAGTAGTACTACTACTAATAATAAAAAAACAGTGGACACTTATTGAACATATAAAATAATAGCAATAATAAGATAGTAATAATAACAAAATTAGACACTTATTTGTCACTTAGCCTGTGCCAGGCACTATTCTATTATTATCCTCAGAAGAGCTAAATGGGTTGCCTAAGATTGCACAGATAGTCAGGAATAGAGCCAAGATTGAGACCCAGGCAGTTCACATTTGCAGTCGCCATGCTATTGCCTCTTCCCTCTTCCCAAAATATTTATTCATTTATTTTCTCATATTGCACTCAGCTGCTCCCATGAGCCTGTCTCTGTGCTGGGCCCTGGGGGTAGAGACAGTAGAGAGCATCTTTGCTTATCTCACCACCAGCACCCACTCCCCTCCTCTTCTCTCCACAGCGCCTGCGACAGCTCGTCACTCCTGACCCCAGCCTGCCACAGCCCAAGCAGCGCCTGTATCTGGATGGTGGCACTGGCCAGGACTGTGGGCCCTCCCCAGTGAAGGAGGGACTGATAGCTGGGGACAAGGAGACCCACTTGTAGGATGTGACACAGAAGCCACGTGGCTACTGAGCCAGGAACCTCAGTCACAGTCTCCCTCTCTCCCCAGTGGACAGCCTTCACCTCTGTGCCCTCCCACAGTCCTGCTGGGAATCTCTGTGATGTTTGTGGGCACCCTCAGCAAGAAGCCAGACTCCTCTCCTCTCAGCTGAAGCAGCTCCTCCTGGTGGACTAAAGATGGTCCCCTGGGACAAGCCATGCTGTAAGGCACCTCCCTATTGGAACACACCATTTTACTTATCCAGGAAGGTGGTCTTTTGGAGTCCACTATCTGATTATGATGCATTACCTGGTGCAGGAGCTCCCCCCAGGGGGATGTCCCTGTGAGAACTTACTGTATTTGTGCACTGGGAGGGCAGCGCCAATTCGAATACATCCCATGCTTGGATTCAGACAGCCCAACAGAGCATGCTGTGTTGGATGGGACAATGGAACACACCACATTGGATCCTGACATTCCATTAGAGGGTCCTTCACTGGGCTTAGCATTCTGGAGTCCATGGGGAAGGAACTAGAGAAACAGCCAGGAGGGAAGCCTTCACGGGCCATCATTGTCTTGAGTTGTCCTGGAGGAAGTCTCCGGTGTCCCTAGCTCTAGCCCTAGTTCCACATGCTTCTTGCAATGTTGTCTTCACCTCACAGAGTGTTGGAATGAAAGGACCTAGAGATGATCCCTAGACTTCACACCACATGGCATTTTATTCTCCTTGTTCCCTGTCCATGACAGACATTGCCAGTAGATCACAGATTCTCTCCCCCCTCACAGTTCTTCCAGATACAGTGCTCCAGGCAGCTCTGTTTGCCATCTGCTTTTCTCTGAACCCCTCACTTCATGAATAAGAAAACTGAGAACGAAAGAGAAAAAGTGACTCAAGTTCACACAGCTTCTCAGGGCCAGAGTTATGAATAAAACCTGGTCTCCTTGTTCTGAGGCCAGTGTTCTTCCCATTACACCATCCTGCCTTAGTCAACAACATATATGGATTGCCTACCACTGTGTGCTAGCTTTCTTTATCTCGCCCCATTTGTGGCCAAGTGTGCTATTTAGGGTGGAAGGGAGAGGGGTCCCCTCTGTGGAGGGGCAAGCAGTTTTCCCCAGATGGGCATCCCCACCTTGGCATTTCTCTGCCAGCCCACACTCCTCTGACCAGATTTCCTCTCTGGATCCTTTAGTTCTTACCACCATTCATCTCCCCTCCCATAGTGGGTACCTTGGAGTCTTTGAGAGCCCCCTGGCCCCCGACAGAGGGAGAGGTGCGCATGTGCCCTATGTCCCTACCAAGTCACACCAGGTCCCTCTCTGGCTGGGGAAGGCTTCCTGGAGGAGGAAGGCGGGGCTTGGGTAAGTACTATGTTCTTGTGTTCCAAAAAGAAGAGAGGAGAGGAGTGGGAGAGGGGTGGGCCACTTCAGGACAGTCTCCTGGGGCACACCTGGGAGCTGGAGGAAGGGAAGCCATCTGCAGTGATGCAGGGATAGATGTCACCCGGAGACACTCCCAGGGGCTGGAGTAGAAATCTATGGTCTGGCTTGGAGGAGTTCCTTCGCTGAGAGCCTCCGGGGCAGTCAGCAGGGCACCCACCATCTTGCACCAGCATTAGGGGATCAGCTTGTGAGAACAAGTACCTGAACCCACTGGGCATAGCAAATGTCTGGACTCCTGGTTCCGGCGGTACCCTTATGCCTCCTTATAGACTGGTCTGTGCACCTGTGCTCAGCTTTATTAGATTAATTAGTGGGCAAAGAAGGAGGTCAGGGAGAAAAGGACGGAGAAGAACTGCTTCAGCCAGGTTGCTCTCCTTCAGGAGTCAGGGACCTGGGGGCCTGCATGGTGCTCTCTGCTGCCACCTGGTGCCAGATGGTAGTAATGCCTCAGACCTCCTGAGCACCTTTCACCTGGGACAGGCTGAGCATTTCTCCTTCTCTGTGTAAACTCTCACCCTCTGGAAACTAAATATTTCCTACATCCTCCTCCCCATGCTCCCGAAGGGAATCAGCTTGCTTTGGGGCAGCCCAGCTGCAAAGGACCTGGTTGTGAGGCCCCCCAGGCTTCTCAGCCACCTGCCACCCCCCCAGCGTGTGCCACATTTATAGCCTTGGTGCTTTCGGCCTGGAATACATATAGTTGCATGGGTGTGAACACTGGCAGGGTTCTGGCTTTCTCCAGATCAATGGCCCCAAGTCTCACAGTCTCCCTGTCCCTGTGCACTGTTCTCAGAACTCCGTTGCTCTCCCCATCCCCCCTGGCCCCACATATGTTCCCCAGCGCTCGCAGGGGCTCCAGATGCCCCGGCTTTAAGCTCACACAGCCTGTCTGGAAGGTGTCTGCTCCGACACAGGGATTTCTGGTGGCAGCTGCCTACAGCTGCTCTTCTGACTGCCTCTTCCAGCCCTGGCTCCCAGTACAGAGCCTCCGTGGTCCCTGAGTCAGAGGGATCCGGATGGGGCAGGCTAGGGCTGGAGGGCACAGAGCATCAGGGAGAGGGACTTCAAGCCAAATCCATAGCTCATGGGAACCCACTCATACTAGGTCCACATCGTGGGCAAGGAGAACAGTCTGACTCTTTAAAGTGCCCAGAGCACTAATTCAGGTGTGTGTGTGTGTGTACATGAACATGTATGCATGAAGAGCAGGTGTGGTGTTATAACTTGCGGTCTGTTTTCATCTCACCTCTTAGACTGAATTTTAAGCTGATACACTGATCTGGGAGCTATGATTTGTTTGACCACTCTGATATTTTTTAAAAAATAATAATTTTTTTCAGGTGAATGCCCTTAGGCATCTCCAGGACCTCTGCAGACCCTCTGATGCTATTATTAATCCTGGGTCAGTTCCGCCTCCCACCCAGGCTCTTTCATTCCCCATTGAAGGGTGCTGGCTAAGTTTCATTCCAAAGCTAGATCTGCAGTGGCATCCATGGCAGCCCCCATAGCAGAGTGGGCTCCAAAGCAAAGCGATGTAGTAGGAGTCTGATGTGTGGGTCACTTCTGCCTCCCAAGCCCGCCCGCTGTGTGCAAGTCACCAGCCCTTTGCCCTTACTTTGTGAAGAAGCACGCTCATCTGCCTGGCACTTCCCCACCCTGTGAGGCCAGTCCCTGCTGTCTCGGAGCCCGCGCTTTCCCTGGGCCTCTGTCCCCCCAGGCTGGGCTTCCTGGGCAGCCAGCCCCCACAGCCACTGCTCCCTTGGGGGTGCTGTGCCCGCTGCTCCCCTCCTCCTTCCTCACTCCCCTTGCCGAGGCTGGGCCTAGGGTCTGGCCTCCTCATGGACTCTCACCTGCCAGCTGCTCCCTGGCCAGGCTGTGGCTGCCCCACACAGCTGAGGAGTGGGCTCCCGTAGGCTCGGCACCCTCCGCCCCTGCCTGGGGCTGGGAGAGCTCTGGGGGCTGAGGGTCCGTGAGTTCTGCTCAGACTGGTGAGTGGACCTCCCACTGCAAGGTGGTGGTCTGTGCACCAGGCTGGAGGGCACCCGACCCGGGGAACCTGTCCCTATCCAGCCTGCTGTCCTGCTCTCACAGCTCCCCATTCCCACCATTCAGAGGCTCCTGAGAGAGGGCCTGGCTCTGGTTTGGGACCCCCAGGAATTACCTGGGCTCCGCTTCCAGCTCACGTTCCAAGCCCACCCTCCGGTCGAGACCACCTTGTGGCAGACCCTCAACTTCAGGTCAGGGTTTCCTGTCTTGCTGTCCCTGTGGGCAGGAAGCATTAGCAGTGGCCTTCCATCTGTCTGCACTGCTCAGTGCTGCAGGTTCTCAGCCACTCCAGTCAGAAGTACCCACCACGGTGGGAGAGAGTGAGCATAAGCCATCCATCTGGTCAGCCTTGTAAGCCCTTAGCTGCTGAGCTGAGGGGACAGGGTTGTGGGAGCATGAGAAGGAACAGAATCATATAGGAGGGCAGGGGACACAGACTAGGAGGAGTCCCAGAGGAGAGAGGTGTGGGGTTTGGGAGGAAGGAGCCGGGACTGGGGTTTGTGGGGAAATATCATAATCACAGGGGACAGCTCAGCTCCCTGAAAGGCTGGCCCCCAGTGATCCTTACCTGCTTGAACTTCACCCTTGACCCTTAGCACATGTGGAGGAATGGGGGTAAGTAGCTTCACAGCCAGGTCATAGAGCACTGTGGCTTCCCACTTTGGAGAAGCCCATCTCTGTGCCATGTGGACACTCAAGCACCCCAGTAGAGAGGCCCACTTGGCGGGAGTGAGGGCCTCCAGCTGAGAGCCAGCACCAACCTGCCAGCCAGGTGGATGAACTGCTGGGTGTGGATCCTGCAGCCCCAGTCAGGCCTTCGGATGACTGCAGGCCTGGCTGACACCGACTGCAGCCTTAGGAGGAGGAAGCACCCAGCCAGGTGGGCCCTGAGCTCCAGACCCACAGTGAGAAAGAATGAATTTGTATTAAGCCACTGAGCTTTGGGGCAATTTGGTAAGCAGTAGTAGACAATAAATACAGCCTGTGGTTTCCCCTAGTACAAGACCCGCCCTCTTTAAGGGTCAGGTGTGGCCTCTCTCCACAGGCAGCCCGCGGCTTGCAGGATGATCGCTGGTCCGTCCTGTCTGCACCCTGTGCCTTCCTCCCACACCCTCACCATTCTAACCCCTTCAAGCCCTGCCCTGACCCTGGTCCCTGCCTGCTCCTGCTCTGGGGCAACAAGGACTGTCTGCCACCCCGTCCTCATGTGCGCCTCCCTGACGGACGGTGCTTGGCTCCCCTGCAGATCCAGCTGTTCAGGGGGTCACAAGGGCTGATTGCCTCTGACAGGGATGAAAAGCTTATTAGCCACCTGTCAATACAGAGAGGCCAGGACCAGGGCATATCACATGGGGCTGAGGCGGGTGAGTGCCCTGGGCCCCAGCACCCTGCACTCCAGCGCTCTCTGCTTCCAGGCTGGCCACCACCAGCATGGTCAGGTCACTTGCTCCTGTGGTCTGAGGAGCCCTTCTGGAGCCTGACAGGCCAGGGAGGGGAGGCAGCATTGCTAGGTGGCACCTCAGAGTGAGGAGAGCTTGTGCCCTGCAAGGCCCAGCCCTCCCCTGGCCCGGGCCCCTCTGCAGGGTCAGGACCCAGCCCCATGGCTGCAGCAAGAATTCACCAGACCCCTGAGGCGATCACATTTGGAGGCTTCTCTAATCACAGCACCTCCTCAATGCTGCCCCACCTGTCGTGGAGCCCAGGGGCCCCCCACAGCCCCCAGATCCCTGTTCCCTGTCACATGCCACTCATAGCAGCAGGCAAGTCTCTCTAGCAAGACTCAGCCCCTGACTCCACTCAGACTGCAGCCCATGGGGGCAAGTGACGGTGGCCTCGCCTCTGGCCAAGTCAGTCTCAGCAAGAGCAGAGGGCCTCTGGGTCTGTTGCTGAGAGGGGTGGGTCCCAGGAGGAGGGTGGAAGCAGGACACAGAGGCCCGGGGAACCTAGCGGGGCAGAGTCCGTGGAGCAGCCTGTCTGGCTGCAGACACTTCTTTCCTAGTTGGCTCTAATATTTTTTTCTCTTGATTTTGAGGGTTTTTTACATACATAATCAGGCTGTCTGGAAATTCTGACAATTTCACTCCTTCCAGTTATTTCTTGTCTTCCTTCACTTGGTGGCAGCAAGTGGTGGTCGCAGGCCTCATTCCCTCCCTCCCCTCCTTCCCCTCCTTCCTAGTTTTGAAAGGAAATCTAACATTTCACTCCTGCGAATGAGAGCTGATGCAGACTTTTGATGGGTACCATTTATGAGGCTATTAAGTTCTCTTCTGTTCCAAGGTTGCTGTTTTTTTAAAATCAAGAATACGTGGCAAGGCCTTTGTTTCCTGTAGAGGTGATTGAAACATGACTTTTTGTGCAAATTAGATTGTCAGATTTTTTCTTTGGAGCAAGAGGGTCTAAATTTATGTAGCCCTTTATAGTTTTCAAGGAAATTAAATGAATAAGAAGTGTTGAATTTTACTGATTGTTCTCTGTGCTTTGGTGGAGATGGTCGTACTATTTTTCTCCTTTAATC